GTCCAGCCCCCAGCCCCCTCCTCCCTCAGACCCACGGGTCCAGCCCCACCCAGGACTCACGTGCTCCAGTCGTAGCCTGTGGGCTCTGGTTTGCTGCGGACATCACAGTTCAGGGTGGCCTCGCTGCGGCCGAGGTACCAGTTGTCATCATAGCCGGAAATGGAGACCTCAGGGGGGTCTGAGGGAAACAGACGCATGGGCTCAGAGACGGGGACTCTTCAGAGCAGCCTAGGGACATGTGGGATCGTGTCATAACGAGGAAAGGCCTCAGTGGGTTTCAGGCACAGCTCAAGATAGAGAGGCCTGTCAGGAGTCTGGGGCAATGGATTCCCTCAGGGAATAAAAGGCCGGAAGTCCTCGGCAGCATGGGAGCCAACGGGGGTGCTGAGAAGGCTTTTCGGGACCTGCTGCTCTCTACTCGTTTTCCCGGACAAGCCGGGTCCTTGTGTGCCTCGGGTGTCCTGTGAGAGAAGGCCTCCTAGACACTCCTAACACACGGGAGCATATTCAAGGCTCTGACAAGTCCTGCTGGAAAGCATCCTGGATGACCCTGCTTCACCTGCTGGTTTTCCATCCTAAGTGTGATGGACCAGGAAGACGCCTCAAAGTCCCCAGGGGGAAGGCCAGCGGGACCGTGTTTTTTTGTGTGGGGCGGAGCCCGTGTCGATCCCCTCCTCCCTCGGACCCAGTGGCCATGTTGAGGGTGCCCCGTGTAGACAGTGCCCGAGGGAATCAGTGTGGCAACTTCTTGGAGGGAGTATTCAGTATAGACAGTGAAGGGAGGACACAGCCCCTTAGATGAGCCAGTGTAGACACCATCGGGGGCCAGTGTGCGAGAGTACCCAGGAGAACCAGCATAGAAAATGTAAGGTCGGGGCGCCTGGGTGGCTCAGTCGGTTGAGCGTCCGACTTCAGCTCAGGTCACGATCTCGCGGTCCGTGAGTTCGAGCCCCGCGTCGGGGTCTGGGCTGATGGCTCGGAGCCTGGAGCCTGTTTCCGATTCTGTGTCTCCCTCTCTCTCTGCCCCTCCCCCGTTCATGCTCTGTCTCTCTCTGTCTCAAAAATAAATAAAAACGTTAAAAAAAAAAATTAAAAAAAAAAAAAAAAAAGAAAATGTAAGGTCAAAATGTCAATGCAGACAGACGTCACGGGAGCCAGGCTAGACAACCCGGGAGACAGTGACAGCTTCCCAGAGCTGGTGGCCAAGTGACGGGTATAGACAATGGGGACAGTCGGGTCTGCAGCCCGCATGTCCGGCAGAGATGATGGCGAAACAGTGTAGAAAGCGGACAAGGGGGTTGGCGTAGACAACGCGGGAAACCCTGTAGCAATAGGCAAGGTCAGTGTAGACAGTCGGCTCGGGAAGCGGGTGGAGGCGGCGTGTGTAGACCGTGCTCAAGGGAGCCGGGAGAGACAGAGGCCTTCGTGTGGCGGTCCCTGCCTTTGCTCACATTTGGGTACACTCACAAGGCACGGCGAGAGTCACAGACAGCAGGACGGCCTCCTCGAAGCTCTCATGCTCCACTTTGCAGGTGATGTTCTGGCCATCTGCCTGGCTGGAGGGTGTTAAGGTTAAGAGGCTGATGACGTCGAACGTGCCAGGCAGGTGTCCTGGCACCAGGCTGTCATTGGCCTTCCCGTCCGGGTATGACCAGGAGATCCGGGAGGGCGGGCGGCCCCCACGGGAGACGCAGCGGGCCACGGGCACAGGCTCCAGGCTGAGCGGGCCGGGCGGGACCTCCTCCGTCTCAGCCGCATTCTCCGGCTGGGCTGTGGAGGGAAGCAAAAGGGACCAGTCAGTCCTCGCCTGCGGTCGTTCAACAGACATCTCGGCAGCAGAGGGGGGGGAAGCTAGCTGAGGGCCAGGTTCAAATCCCAACTCTGTCCCCGAGCCACTGGGTGGCTTTGGGCATGTCTGTGCCTCACTTTCCTTGCCTGTCAACGGGAGATAATGATAGGCTCACAGGCAATGAGATTATGCAGGGAAGGCTCCTAAAATGGTAGTGGGCGCATAATAACTGCTTGATAAACAATATTATGATTGGGACATGAATACCTTGCCTGGCAATGTGACGGGCAGTGTTGGGGACCCAGGCACGACTGGGACAGCCCCAGCCCTGCCTTCATGGGCTATACAGTCCAGGGGAAAGACAGAATTCCCCACGCAGTGGCAACCCAGAGTGGGCCAGGCTGGGATGGGGGAGCCCAGAAGGAGTGCCCCAGTCTGGGGTAGCAGTGAAGGAGGGATCCATGGAGGAGAGGAGGGCTGGTAGCGTCCCGGAGGGCGAGAAGAGAAGTGATGGGCTCAAGGTTATACAGTTGTAATGGACAGAGCTAGACTTTCACACAGTTCTGACTCCAAACCCACCTCGACCATCTCTCTCTCTCTCTCTCTCTCCTTTATTTATTTATAATTTTTTAAACATTTATTTATTTATTTATTTTTATTAAAAAAATTTTTTTTAAACGTTTATTTATTTTTTTTTTGAGACAGAGAGAGACAGAGCATGAACGGGGGAGGGGCAGAGAGAGAGGGAGACTCAGAATCGGAAACAGGCTCCAGGCTCTGAGCCATCAGCCCAGAGCCCGATGCGGGGCTCGAACTCACGGACCGTGAGATCATGACCTGAGCTGAAGCCGGGCGCTTAACCGACTGAGCCACCCAGACGCCCCTTGACCATCTCTTTATCGTCATTCTGGTGATTCCCAAACCTGGGGTTTCACTTGGTTCCTTCCTCATTATTGCCTGTTGCCGTAGTGTTATTATGGACTGGAGATTTCTCTTGAATTTGACTCACTGGTTGGGTTTTTTTTTTTTTTTTTTTTGTAAAATACTGAGAATTTTATGTAAAATACATAAAATTTCCAAAACAACCGTTACCCGGTCTGCTAGGTATCTGCAACAAGTAAATTATTAACGGAAATATTACTTTTTTTTTTTT